CTTCCTCCGGTTGAGCTGCTCACACTGAACCGGTAAAACTGTTCCGGCTCTTCTCATCGCTGTCCGCTCCCGAAAAAAACCGACCTCCCAGCAAAACCACCAGAGCAAACACCCAACCGCCAGTAGTCACTGGACTATTTTAAACTGCCGTTAGTCACCGACGGTGGTTGGTGGGGGGATGTGTTCACGGTGACTGCTGCTTTCCAGCACGTTTCGCTGTGTTGTGTTTGTTTACGCCTTCGCCATAGAGAAACACACAGCTGGGGGAAAAAGAAAAGAAAAAAAAGAGGAACGGGAGAGTCGTGGAGCCTCTTAAAGAGACAGCACACCTGGAAAGGTGGCCCTTTCGCGGTCTGGAAAGGGGCCATGGTTCTTCCCAAAGCCGTTTTCCGCTCACCGGCAGCTGGCGTTGCTTTTCTCCCACTTTTCTTCTCGGTACGTGAACTCACCGCGGCTAAACGCCACCCAAAGATGAAAAAAAAAACTATTTTTCACCCAATACTTTCCTCTTTTTTTCTCGCATTTCCAAGTCTAAAACACATATAACATTTTTAATGGGGGGAAACTTTGAGTCTGCTGATAGTGGGATTCAAATATTACAGAAAATATTGCAGAAAAGAAGGATTAACAAAGGGTTTCTTGAACTTTTTAGCATCTACACTTAGAAGAAACGACGGGGAAATGTCTATTTGCATTTTTTTAATATCTTTGGAGCAATAACAACCAGAATCAATGTCTTTTCACAGATACATGGGATGACACTTTGTTGTAAAAGTGGAATTAAAAAAGAAGTCATAAATCAGGCTTAATTTAGGCAATGAATACCTAAACTTCCACTTAATTTTAGAGCTAGTTTGGACACGTGTATCATATAACTGAGTATATTCAGTAAAAAATGTCCCTTAAAGTTTTTCTTAAATAAACATAAAGGTACCTTAAAGGTATGCTGCCTTCAAGGACTATTTTTTCAGGGAAAAAGCAGACTCTGGTCACATAAACACTCATGCTCTTCTCAGAGCATCTACAAGTGTCCTGA